AGCTGAGGCATTCGTACAGTCAAGGATTCGCGCTTTGCCCAATTGCCTTAAGAAATATGGCACTTGAATGCCAGCCTTCAACCAAATGAGCCTTAGCCTTAGCCTGCTGCCCTTGGTGTTGCCTTTGCCTGATCCTGCGTCTAAGTCCTGACAATTTATGCTTGGTCGTCGAAGATGCGACTAAGCCCAAAACAAACGCGAGCCCAATTCATTTCGCGTGCCAGTTCGACTTCATTTAGCCCAAGCGGAAAGCCCAACCACTCCACTCCACTCCACTCCACTCCAGGCCAGACCCGGCCAGAGTCCTAACCCTTTTGCCGGCGCAATGTCTTCATTAGCGAGTCCTTTGGTCACGCAACTGTAGCCTCTGAAATTAACGCGCCCAGGCAGTCATAAAATTTGCGTTTATTGATGCTCTACCAACTGCTGCCAAGTGCTACAAACTGCGCGGCAAGTGAAAATCCTTTTGTCTTAGCAGCTGGCCTAGGGCTTACTTTCATTAACTTTTCTTTAATTTTAGAGAATTGAAGCTTACTTAGTTTGGTGTAAGTCATTCGATAGACTTGGCAGTACAGCAGGAGACATGGTTCGTTTGATTACACTCGCAATTGAATGGAATTCTACTTGGTAATTCCTTTTGTAAGAAAGCTAAGAAATGCCTAAGAGTCTATGCAATTGCCTTTCGCATTAGCTACTTTCCTGTGCCATGAAGATGGCGAAAGTACGATCCATTCTCTGCCGATTTCAGCAAATATCTAAGTGGACAAAAATTCTACAATTTTTCTACAATTGCTAATTGCGAATGCGCACGTGTGCGAGTGCTTCCACTCCACTCCTCCCTTCTCTATCTTTCTCCATCTTTCTCTAATGGCATGCGCTTGACCAATTCGCAATTTGAGCTTCTCAATTGTCAGCGATTATTGCCCGTTGACAGTAGCTGTCAAAAAATGCCTCGACAGGCAGTCGCCAATCCAATCCACTCAGGTATCGATTGTAGGTATCGGCGTAGCTGGAGCTCACATCTAACGTATAATTAGGCGCTTTGTATCAGTGGAAATTGGCTTTGACAAGTAAATGACGAACGCTTTTGATTGCTCGATTAAATCGCACGACGCAATTGTTAATTGTGTGAGGCTGGTGGGGGGGGCATGAATGGGCGCTCTATGCGACTCTCGGGAGGTCGCGGGGTTACGGTTACGATTTCGGTTTCGTTCTCTGGTTTCATCAATGCGGCACGTCTATGGCTCATGATATGTGGCCATAATGCGTGTTGCGGCTGAAATAAGTACATTCTAAAGTTTAGAGTCCCCTTCCCGCACTCCCCGCACCTCATTCACTGCTCTGCTCTGTGACGTGTGGCACCGTCAGGTGGCACCTTGGCTTTATTGATTTCTGCGGCTGGCTTTTATGAGTTCAGCTCAGTTGCGTTTGGGTATTCGTTTCTTTGGCATGCCAACCCCAAGGCACATGCAATTAAGCGCACATGTGTGTAGTGAACTGGCTGGGGCAGTGGGTCTTTATCCACTCCCTCTCCCCCCTCCACTCTCCCTCTTTCCCTGTGGGGCACCTGTGCGACAGGCGCTGTTGGAAATTTTACAACTTTTGGGCGAGCTCGCGTAGCAACTTTGACGCCTCATTGACTCGAGTGGATTCGCGTTGCCTGACAGCCACCACCTCCCGCTCCGCTCCCTGCTCGACCATGTCTCTGCAGCAGCAGCTCTGCTGTGCTGGCGTGTCGCATGCATTTGGATCGCCTTGCGAGCGCCACTTTATGTGGCGTCTCATGTGGTTGTCCTTATGAAAATGGCGTCCTATATGCGCATATTGTACACGCTTTTCACTGGCTTCGCTTTTGTTTTGGCTTTTTCCCTTTTTGCCTTTTGCTTTTTTGTTTGTTTTTACTTGATTTTCTTGTTGTTTCATCTACTACACTTATTTCATTTTTTGTTGTTGCTTTCGGTTTTTGTTTTTTGGTGGCCCGTGTGTTTTTATTTTGGCAATTAAATGCATGCGGCGAACGTCGACGATGGCGTTGATGGCCGCCCTGGGCTCGTGACTGAGCTGCTGCCACGTTGCATGCCGCATACTAAGTGTCATTATGAGCGACGCTTTTTCAACTGCGCTGCCTAAAACCCTAGACGAGCTCTGTCATTATGTGGCCCCTTACATACATCGTGTGAGAGAGCGAGAGGGAGGGAGCGAGATATAGAGGGAGGCAGAGTCGCCCACACAATGTTGCAATTACGTCGCTTTGGTCAAAGAAATTTGCCTACAGCATAATCCAATTTAAAGTGTTTAAATCAAATTTGAAACATCAGAACGAAGTGCCATTGTATAGTCCTGCTGTCAATATACACCCACTCTACCTCCCTCTCCCTCTCTCTTTCTCTCTCTCGTCTCTCTTTGTCTGCGGGTGGAAATTTTGAATTATGTTCTAATAACTGCGGCCGGGTGGTTGCTTTGCCTACTTGCGCCTGCTGGCCTTGGTTTGTTGTACCTACGCGTCGCTAAACCATGAAATGCAATCAAATTTGCGGTCGTCGAATGGCAAATATTGCGTACGCACCACCCACACCACCCACACACCCCTCCACTCGCACACTTTAAAAGATAGGCCTGGGGGGCAGCTGTCAGTGCGCGTCAGTTTGCCAGCTCGAACTGACAGCCTCCGTCCGTCCCCGCCCCTCCGTCGTCTGCTTTGCAACTTTCATCGTGTACAACTCAATTTTGAGTTTTCGGTTTTGGATTTTTGAAATTGCACGGACATGGAACAGCACCACAGCAGCAGAGAACCACAGCAGCACGGCAGCACAGAGAGCGTCGCGAGTTAATGAAAAGGATACACATGTCAACTTCAATTTTGGTTTTGGGCTTTTCATTTTCTCTCGCCTCGATTTTTTGCTCCTGCGAGGTGTTCGCCACAAGGGTTGCTCAAATTAGTTGCTTCCGGGCCCTGAGGGTTGACTTGTAGGTGTTGCTCAGCGCAATCTGTTACATTTTTGGCCTCAGCTTTGCTCGTCTTCTCTTTATTTGGCTTTCAATGCCCAATTGTCGTTATTGTTGGCTTTCAAATATTTGCACTTGTGCCTAGTCGGCTGGAGCGCTAATTCACCCACAATTCACTCACAATTCACCCACAATTTGCCCACAATTGTTGTTTGGGCTCACGACTGTTCACGTATATTTGTTTGTTTGGCCTGCAGTTTAATGCACAATCAATGTTTAAGCAGAGGAGCTTTCGTTTAATTAGCCAACTGCGCTTTGTTTACCAAGTGGATCGCATTATTCTGTCGGGTTCTGGCCAGCCATTCCCATACCCAACTTCCACTCCCACTCCCACTTCTATTGCCAGGGTCAGCTTAGCAATTGAATTGCGCTTCTCAATGCACTCAAAACAAAAAAAAAAAAAAAAAAAAAAAAAAAAAAAAACTGTGTGGGGGCAATCAATTAATTATGGCATCGACATCGAAGCTCTATACTAAAGTTGTCTATGCTGACTATCAAATGCAATTTGCGCAGAGAGCAATACAAAATACCAAAGAAATACTAAAATACTAAAAAAAAATAGCTAGGAATGTAGTAGGAGCCAAAACAACTTATGTTGCCCTAAATAAATTCCAAAAAATACTTTTAAAAATACTTAAAAAATACTAAAAAGTTAAACTAAACATATAAGCTGAATCTTTATATTTTGTTCAAGGAGCAAGGCTTAATACTAAATAAATACTAAAAACGTTAACTAGGAATATGGTACGAGCTAAAAAATGTATGCTGTCCAAAAGAAATACTAAATACAACAAAATACTAAATAAATACTAAAAATACTAAATAATACTAAAAAATTTAACTAAACATGTAGTAAAAGCTGAATCATTATATTTTGTCCAAAAGAGCAATACTAAATACTAAAGGAATACTAAGAACATTAAATAGGAATGTGGTGCAAGCTAAAACAATTTATGTTGCCCAAAAGAAATACTAAATACTAAAAAATACTAAAAATACTAAAAAATACTAAAAACTTTAAACATGTATTAAAAGCTGAATCATTATATTTTGTCCAAAAGAAATTGCTCTCTGCTCAATATTTATTTGATTAAGCTGATTTATAGTATTTGAGAAGCGCATAGAAGCGCACACAATGCTCGCTAACGTTTTCCATTGAATATGGAACTTGTTTTCACAGCACAAATAGACAATAAAAAGCAACAATAATACAAAAGATGATTTATCGTGTGATTAAACAGGAAGATATTTGTGATATTATTTTTTTATTTTTCATTTTTTTGCGGCGTGACTGCAAACATGTTCTAGAGACTGTTGTTGATATTATTATTATTATTGTTATTGTTGCTGTTGCTGTTCGTAATGGTTTGTTAGTTTTAGTTTAGAATGCACTTTACTATATACACAATATTTATATATATATATATATGTATAGATATATATTCTAAATTATAGAATTGCATTTATAAGTAATATTAATTAGCTATAAATAACATGAGAAACAACTGCAACGACTTGTAACAGGTTTTTGCGCCGTTGACTGAGCCGCCCCCGGGGCGCGAACAACACAACAAGCGGCAGTCGCACAGTGGCTGCGATATGTAAGCGTCCGGGCGATTACAAGGCCCATGTTAGATATAAATAACATATAGCGCACTATAAATCAATGAGGCCACAAAGGAGCGCCAGGTGGGGGGGAGTCGAATAGTCGAATAGTGATAAGCTTTATCGCACGGGCGCGTACATACGTTAATTAAGAGACCAAAACTAACATTAATCTATAGAGGAATATGCACGAGTACTCGCACACTCGCCCTATCGCCCTCTCGCTCTCTCAGTGGCACAGTGGGTCATGCCCGATATTAGCCGCATCTTATGCTCATTAGGCACAGGCTGTGCGCCTTGACCTCCGCACCAAAGTTCAAAATAATTAATGACCTCTGGCCAAACTTAATGAAAGACGTAATTTTTGTTACGACACGCTGGCCACACACTCGATACCCGATATAAGTGGGGAGTTTCCTGCTCGGCGCTGGCTTTGATTTATTTATGGGCAGCTGCCTGATTAGCCCGGAACTTGAGCTCTCAATGGGGCCAGTGATTGAGTGGCATTTGGCCAAAGTCTTGTCCAATTTGCCAAGAGCTCTGCGAGAGTTGAGAGAGAGAGAGAGAATCTCACTTGCTGTGCCTATAGAAATATTTATTAAATTATTTAATATTTATTTTATTTACTTACTTTTAAGATTGTTAAGCTAATTTTGTGTTTGGCAATAGCGAAATAACAAAATTACTTTCTTGTAAAGTCAGTCCCTCTCTCTCTCTCTCTCTCTTTCTCTCTCCCTCTTTGACCGCCTTGTGGTCCTGCTTTTGTTCAGCAATCGTTGAGCTTTGAGTCTGCTGGCTAATGGAATGCTGCTTTGTAGCCACATAAAACTATATAAATCGCGTAATCGCTGCAGCTGGGCGCCAGCAGCAACAACAACATCGACAACAACCACAACAACAACAATGTCACGTTCAATGTCAAGTGCTTAGCAAAAATTTGCAAAGGAAGCGTGTAAAGCGTTTAAAATATTTTCTCATTAGATAGACTAGCCACAGCAGACGTCGACAGTTGGCTGACTGTTTGGCTGCTTTTTGTACAAGTTTATATGAAATGTCAAACGGCAACAATAACAACAACAACTTGACCTTCATCTCTCACAAGCACAACTGCAACTGCAGCTCACAGACAACAACAAACAACCCACGGCTGCTGCGTTTATCTCTATGAATGTCTCGACTAGCATCGACTGGGCCTGGCTTGGACTTGGTCTACGACTCGCTCGATCATGCAACGGGCGGGCAGCGGGCAGCGGGTAGCGGGCAGCAATGCCTGCCTGACAGCAACATTGAATTGCTGCTGCTACTACTCATGTTGTTGCTGTTGTTGTTGTTGCTGCTTACGTAAGTGGCTGGCAGCAGCAGGGCGCTACGCCTGTTGAGCAACATTGATACAAACATGCGCCAACTATCGACAGTTATCGCCATAAATTTTGACACTCGCCGCTTGGCAAATGCAAAAGTGTCGTCAGCGGCGACACAAATGGACAAATTGCCGCGCTGCCCCTAGCAAATGCCAATTGAAATGTGCGCCTCACTCCTCACTCCCCCCTCTCTCTCTCTCGCTCATCTCTTTGTCTATCTCTTTCATTGTCATTTTCTTGTTTTGCTTTTTCTTTTTTTTTTGCAAATCCTTTTAATGTTTGCGCCAGCACGCAGCAAATATTTCATATAAAACACCGACACACACACACACACGCATGCATATGGACAATTCCGCTGCCACGCCCACTGTCCACTGCCGTGATTTTACCCCTACACATGTTTGCCTGCATTACGCCAACTAAGACTAAGTCAATATTTAGCAGCAAATTAAAAAACAATCACAAAATATTGAAACAATAGACAATTGTTTGCAACCAACCCCTAGCCCTACCCCTACCCAAGCATCTACCCTTCGCCCGTGAGTGTTGTCGCTTGTCAAGCTGGCAGCGTGTCGTGTGTGCGCTGTGCAAACAAGCGACTGTCAACTTTTGACGTACTCTCGCATTAGAGGAGAGCGCAGCAATTATTCCAGCAGCAGAACTTCATCAGCTCAAGCACAGGCACAACTCAAACTGAAACTATGACTAAAACATATTTGTGACTTGTTTTACCTTGCCTCCTGCTGCCGCCCCCTCCTCCCGCTGCTCCCTCAACTGCACCAATCAGCCAGTGTTAAAGCCAGCCAACTGCGTTTTGGGGTTGGCTGCCCGTGCCCGCGAGCAGCGCCCCCAATCTCCAACTCAGCAGCCAAGGCTAACGCAATCATCGGGCTGGCAAAGCCACCACCGCCTAACCGAACCGAGGCCTCATCAACTCGACGCCATCTCTGTGCGCACTGTCTCCCTCCCTGCGTCTCGCCGCTCTCGACTCGTCTCTTCGTCTGCATCAGACCCAAAAGTGTCAATCCAATTACCTGTTCGAGCGCTGGAATCTTTTGCGACATGTTTCATAACGCGGCGAGTTTCGTTCGCCCAACGCCTCCCAATTGCTCTTTGTTAACAATGCATGCTTCGTTGGCCACACACACACACACACATACAGAGAGAGAGAGAAGGGGCGGGCTAGTGTGTTGCCAATGGCGTTTATCAATCGCAGACAAGAAACTTCCGCTGCGGCCCACCCACAGCCAAGTCGAGTCGCCATTGGCACTCATTAACACGTGTTTACTTAGCCAGATCCTCGAGCGTTCGATCGACGCCAATAACAAACTGCAAGCTCATGCTTAAGAATCTCGCATCGAGAGATGTCGAGAGACATCTGCGAGTTGCCGGGCAAAGGTAACCCCAATTGAGAATCCTCCAAATGCCATCTCCCCAGTTCATTCACCAAAGTCTGTAGTGTTATTATTTTCATTGTTAATATTTGTTACACGCCTTTTGTCTGGCTCCTCGGCACTCGGCACTCGCCTCTCGTCGTCTCTCCTCTCTCTCTGCATTTGGAGTGGATTTGATTGCGGGCCGTTCCTGGTTGATGACTCAATGCTGCACTGCTGGCACTGCTGGCTCCCGGCTGAGACATCAAGTGCTTATTTAGTGACTCGCCAGCGAGACGAAAGACACTTCTCCTGCCAAGATCGCCGTTCGGTTGTTGTAGCTGGCTGCCGTTTGCTCTCCCTCTCCTTCTCTCTCCCCCTCTCCCTCCCTCTGCTTGCTTGTTTCCACTGTGTTTGCCCAGCCACTACAGAAACGAAGACGCCGTCGTCGTCGTCGTCGTCGTTGTTGTGTCTCCAGCTGCAGCTCCAACTGCACTCAGCCAACATCATTTGATTTCGACTCAAGTGCAGCAAGATGACCAAGTTAATTTCGAGTTTTGGCTTTTTGTTTTTTGGGGTTATCAATGGCCCTGGGCAGACAGCAACAACAACAGCAATGTCGCCCCTAATTGATATGGCTAAATGGCCATCTATGTAGCCAATGGGCCAGACAAAAGACGCTCAGCGTCTGTGGCCCAGGAACTGAGCTGCTGAAGGTAGCTAGACATGTTTCATGTCGATGTCGCCAGCGTGTACGTGGCAATGCGTAGAATTCCATATAAAATAATTAATGAATGTCACAGCAAATGTTTCGCTGCTATTCTGGTCGCCAGCTTCAGCTCCAGCTCCAGCAGGATGCCCGAACGGGTCCAGCGATCCAGCGTTCTCGTCCTCGTATCGTTGGTCAGCATTGCGCGCATATTTGGCGTCAATATTAAGTGAAACTGATGGATGCCTCGATGGATGGCTGCCTGAATGCTGAGATGCTGCGATGCTGGGATGCTGCGATGGCCAGCAGCAGCAGGTTGCCTGTTTCTCAAGCAAAAAATAATTTTGAAGCGCACTGTGGCATGCAGCAAATGACAGAGAATGAAATCGTGAAAATATTTGCGTGTGTGTCGTATGGTTACTGTCACACTTAACGGACACAGGGAGAGAGATGGAGAGAATGAGAGAGAGAGAGACGCGTATACAGGTAAGAAACAGCATCCAAGTTGCCTTAAATGGATGCAAAAGGATGCACAAGGCACAAAAATGCTTTACACTGTTGTCTGCGTAGCAAATTTGTAAAATTAAACAGTCAACAACAAGCAGAGGCAAAGACAACACTCTGCATTGCTGTGAAAGGGGCAGGATTGATAGAGAGACAGACAGAGCGAGCCAGAGAGAGTGAGAGAGTGAGAGAGAGAGAGAGATTGTGAGTGAGAGCAAGAGGCAGCAGCCATACTTCAATTAAACCAACTTCATTAAATTTCAGCTAACAAAGGCGTCAACGTGGGCGTGGGAGGCGACTGGCATGCAGTGGGCATGGAGGTAGCAGGAGGTAGTTTCACTGCGGCTCTGTGCTCTCGTCATCATCTTCATGGCTGCTGTTACACGCAAATATCTATATATACGGCATGTATATACAGCCGAGTCTAGATTGGCCCGAGTGCCTGGAAATTGTCAGTAAATTGGCTCAACAACAACGCTGAGATGCCATCAACAACACCAACAACAGCAACAGCAACAACAACAACTAGAGTAGCAGCAAAATTGCCAGCAACATTTTACTTCGATTTCCCGTGCTTTTCTGTTCTGTCAGCAGAAATTTGCTTATGTGAATGTGCCAAGGGATAAGGTGAGCAGGCACTGCGAACAATGGCCGAAACCCATAGCTGGATGAACCGAATGACCACCAAAATGTACGAGGTACAGCTCCTGAAGGCAGACTATACGAATCGAATACTATTGCATATAGGAAATGTAGGTCTTATACAGGATATAATAATAATATACTGCCAAACTGGAATGCTGTGCAGTAAAAATACTAAAAAAAATATGTAAAAATATAGAACAAAAATTTTCATTAAAAAAAAAAAATATATAAAAATTTGTAGACAAGTTCTTGTACTTTATATATATTAGCTAAAGATATATCTCTATTATTATAACTAAAATATGTTTAGTATAAATCATGAATCGACTATCTCTCTTAGTTCTTAGCCAAAAAGTAGTCGCAAATTCTAGCTAACATTCATCTCAGCTACTCCTAAGCTTAGTTAGTCTTATTTTGCTAGCATCTCACTCCCCTTCCCTCTCCCTCTCTCCACCACCGTCCTCCCCATCAACTAGATCTCTGCCAGCCATTAAGGGCTATTTCAATTGTCTCATTCGCTTCGATTGCCGCGCTCTGGCATTACACAATAAGTCCCTACTCAGCGCCCCATACATGGCCGCTGTTCCATTTAACACCTAACAGATTTTCGCTATCAGCCATCGCCTTGGCCAGGCTGACAAATCACAAGATGGTCACATAAAACTAGACATCCGAAAAGCAAGAGAAATGTAGTCGATTCCCCATCAATTTCCAATACGCGCCCTGAACTTTGATTTTATTTTACTTTCGCCCTCCGAATGGGAACTGGGCAAATTATGCTGTTATCTTCATTAGGTTGACATAAGTGCAGCCCAAATGCGCCACCCAGAGGAATTGTGCGACTAGTGTGGAGCACCGAGCCTGGGCTGTGGGCGGTGGACGGTGGACAGTGGGCACGGCGGGTCAAGCTAAAAAAAAAGTGAAAATTGTTTATAGAGCGTGGGTCGAACTAAAGCTGGCCTGGGGTCAGTTTTTTCTGTTGCTCTTAACGCCTAAAATATCAAGAGCAATGTCTCTGATATGGGGGGCGTTTACCCCAAGGGCTGATTGGAGGGAGATACAACCACACAGACACACACACGAGCACGCATACATATGTGTAGCGTCAGCTATTTGTGAGTGTTGACTCAAAGGACCCGCGTGTGTGTGGATGTGTGTGTTTATTTTGTTGGTTTGTCTAACAGTTCTCAGTTGTGTTCAAGGTTTTATTGGCTATTGTTGTAGTTGCTGTTGTTGTTGGCTGCGTGTAATGCGTATTTAACAAATAAACAGTTGATTTGCCCGCTCGGCGATAGCAATCAAAGTTGGACGACGGCAAGTAGTTAAGTTGTTTGGCGCTGGTAAACAAGTAATCGACAGCGAGCAGGAGAAGTGAGAGCTGATAGGTAATGGCAGG